ACAGTTTCGGCGGAGAGAATGAGAGGGAGAAGGAGAGATCCGAGTAATCTAGAGTGGAGGGTAAAATAGTCTTTTTCATATATCCATTGACGGACGTTAATATTTACGGGACGGTCTCATATCTAGAATGACCTTGATTTTGTCGGGATTGGCTTCGATACCACGTCGGTTAATGATGTAACCCAGGAATTTACCCGAAGTGACACCGAAGACGCACTTGTTAGGGTTCAATTTCATGTTAAAGTTGCGCAAAATTTCGAAAACACAATGTAAATCTTTTATTAAATCATTTGAAAACTGAGTTTTGACGATCATGTCGTCTACATAACACTCTACTTTTTTGCCGATCAGCGGCTCAAACAGTCGGTTTACAAGTCTTTGGAAAGTTGCCCCAGCATTTTTCAGTCCAAAGGCATGACCTTGTAACAGTACAGGCCTAGCTCGGTTATGAAGGCCGTTTTTTCCTCATCGGCAGGCTCCATCCTGATCTGGTTGTAGCCCGAATAAGCATCCAGGAAACTCAACAACTCGTGCCCTGAGGTCGCGTCCACCAGACGGTCGATCTTGGGAAGTGGGAAACAGTCCTTTGGGCAAGATCAATTCAGGTCGGTATAATCGACGCACATGCGCCATTTATTGTTGGCCTTTTTTACCAGAATGGGGCTAGCCACCCAGCTCGTGTAATGGACCTCCCTGATGAAATCGGCTGCGAGAAGCTTCCCAACTTCCTCGTTGACTGCTCTCCAACGCTCTGGGGCTAGGTTGCGTTTCTTCTGTCTAACGGACCTAACTACAGGATCAATGTTCAATTTGTGAGTTATTATTTTAGGATTTATGCTGGGCATTTCTGCCGCGGACCAAGCAAACACATTCAAATTTTGAAGTAGGAAACTTACCAGTTGAGAACGTAGAGGCTCCTCAATCGACACGCCGATTTGGAGAGTCTTGGCTGGATCTTCTGTCGAAACGGGTATAGGGACCGTTTCCTCTATTGGTGAAGCTCGCTCCTCATGGTACTCCGTAGGTTGCTCTAACTCGAGGTCGCCTGCTGCCTTGGCTTTCCCTTTGAGGGTGGCGACGTATCATTTGTGAGACTCGAGCTTGTCGCCTCGCACTACCCCTACTCCGAAGTCCGTGGGAAACTTCATGGCCAAATAATAGGTGGACACCACTGCGCGAAGAGCGTGGGTGATAGGCCGACCTATTATGGCATTGTACGGGGAGGGAGTTGCGATCACTAGGAAAGTGTGGTCGAACCTCGCAATGCTAGGCCACGTAACTCGTCCCAGGGGCCTGACTTCCTCTCCACTTAAGCCTACCAAGGGAGTGTTCATGAGCTTTATGTCGATTTCCTGGAGCTGCAGCTTGTCGAACGCATCCTTGAATAGTATGTCAGCCGAGCTGCCTGAGTCAACCAAGACGTGCTTCACCTCGAAATCATTGATCCTTATCTTTATGACGAGCGCGTCATCATGGGGGTACTAGACTACGCGTGCGTCATCTTCGGTGAAGAAAATAGGCTCTTCTAACCTCAGCCGCTTCGGGGGATTCTGCTCTTCTCTTTCCATCTCACGAGCTGATGTCTTCGCCACGGCTGAGGTGCAGCCTGCGACAATCGATCCGTCGGCGATCATGTGTATTACCCCTCAAACTGGCCTCTCTTCGGGCAGCTGTCTCTGCGGCTGCTCGTTCTGCCTGTTGCTGGACTCGGGAGCATCTCTACCTTGCTCCCCCTGCCAACTTGTTTGATTTTTATTATCATTTAATACAAAGTTTTTCAAATATTCGCGACGGATGAACTCCTCTATCTCGTCACGGAGGTTCTTACAATTTTCGGTGCTATGACCGTGATCTCTGTGGAAGTGGTAGTACACATTCTTGTTTCTAGTGTTTGGATCTCCTCTCATCCAAGGTGGCCAATTCACGTAAGAAGCATCCTTGATCGCCATGAGGATTTCTGCTTGCTTCGCGTTCAAGGGTGTGTAGTTTGTTCTGCCAGCAGGAGGAGCTTGAAAAGACTGATCTAGTTTACTTCCTCCTCGAGCTAGTTCATCCTTCTTCCGCTTATTGTCCCCGTTAGTTGAGGTCTCACCTTCTCTTTCCTCTTCTCTGAAGATCCTCGCTCTTCTGGTTCATCTCTTCCTCTATTCCAATGAACTGGTCGGCGAGCTTGAGGAACTCAGTAACATCTTTGGGTTTGTTGGCAACCGCGTGCCACTTAAATTCTTTGTGGGTGATACCTCTTTTGGCTGCTGTAAGTCTCACGATGGGGTCTAGATCAGGGATCTACAGGCATGCATCGTTGAATCTCTTAATGTAACTTCGGATAGATTCTCCCTCCCTCAGGACTATGCCGAGCAGGCTTTCCTAGGACCTTGGGCACCTCTTGCTTGTGATGAAGTGCGAGGTAAAAATCTGCACGAACTGCGCCCAACTCTTAATTGTCCCGGGCACAAGATTTCTATACCACGTGCGAGCTACTCCTTTAAAGGTGGTGGAGAAAGCCACGCACATGCAGGGTTCATCCGCCCTGGCTAGGTGCATCTGCGACTGAAATGAATCTACGTGGTCATTCGGATCGAACGACCCATCATACTTGTCTAGGGGAGGTACTTTGAAGTCCTTGGGCATTGGAACTGCCAGGAGCTCGGGAGATAGGGGAGACGGTACAGAGAGAAGTGGGGCAGTCTTCATTGTTCTCGAGCTCGCCTCTTCCTTTCCTTTGAGATGGTTGGGCTGGCTTTAGACTACAGCTCGGCGAGCCTTGTGACGCCACTTCTGTTGCTTCTTCACCGGCTCCGCATTAGTGCTACTGGCTTCAGTGTTATCAGGCACGGTTCTTGCGGGGATCTACTCAGACTACTGGCAATGATTGCTATGAACTGAGGGGCCTAGTTTGGAATCCACGACCAGAAGCTCGAATCGATTTTCTGCCAATGGAACTTTGAACTGGGAGGGCCGAGGTGACACGACCCTGGTAGGCTAATTGTCTCCTGACCTGTTCACCTGTTGGAAGGCGGGAGGAGTAACCTGTCTCTCCCTCCTGCCACAGGACGAGACCTGGCTCCTGAGAGGGTTCTAGACTTGGGAGGTCTCTCCCCGGCGAGGAGGGCGCTCGCTCTGGCGGCGAGGCTTGACTTGTTGTGTGGCCGGATGTCGAGGTGGAACCGGCTGCTGAGTCTGCTGATTCTGCGGCAGTTGAGGAAACTGTTGCTGATAAACGTGGTGTAGGACTTGCTGTTGATACAGTTGGAACTACTGGACCTGTTGCATTTGGGTTTGCATAGCCCGCATGCAGTGTATCAGGTCGTCCAATTGATTATGTTCGACCGTCAGGGGAATGACAGAAGGTTTGGTGAAGGTTGCACTCACCGTCAGAGGGAGTGGGGCATTCTCCGGTGCAGGAACTTGAGGCACATTGAGAGTGGGGATCCCGTCCGCAGAAAGAGGCACGATGAACTGTTCGATACAGACAGTTGGGACCTGAAATTGCCCCCGGAGGTGTTCATGTCGGCGTTTTGTCCGGCGTTGCTGGAAGATGCCATTGAAGATGAGTTTAGGATGCTTAGTGGAAAAAGGCTTTTTGAAGCGGTTCCCACAGACAGCGCCAATTGATGCTGTGCAATCTGGCTGCTCCTAACTAGAGGTGACTTGGCTTCCAGTAGACGACGGACGTGAAGGATCTGCATAGAGAGAACCAGAGAACCCGGGGGTGCTTACCCGGTGAGGTCACTCCGATGCTTAAGTCAGTAATGTGTGAGCTGAAGGTGATTAGAAAGCAAGTGAGTTAGTAAGCAGTGATTGCGCGTACCTCTGCCCCCAAAGGGTTGGGGTCTTTATATACTGGAGTCCTCGTGGGTTTCTCGGAGTGGTTCTTAGATTCTTGTCGTGATGAGGCCTGTTACCGAATTAATAGGAGATAATGATGCCAGCCGATAAGGTATATCACTGTCGTCTGAATCGGTCAGAGGAGAAGAGGCCCGCTGTCACGAGGCATGATCCCGTAAAACGTGGAATCCGATGATGAGATCTTCGGGGTTATCGTGTTGGAGGTAGGTCAATATTACCCGAACTGATGCCACTTGGGTCTGACCTGCTACGGACATCAAGGTGCCTAGTAACCGAGGTGATCTTAATGCGATCATGCCCCAAAGTGAACTTGTCCCGAGGTGGATTCGCTTCCGAGGTGGTTCGGTTATCCGAGCTTGGTCCATCACAGACTTTAGTACATTGAGATGAGCGGTCATTCTGTCAGATAGTCATATGTCCCTCTATTATTAGGTCAGGCTAAATCACCCTACATCACCTAGCATTAATCAATTTTCAACCAGTAAGACTAGTCAATTAGCTAAATCATAAGAATAGTTTAGCAATTCCAGTTTCGGGTCGGATAGGCCCGAGCCGCTCAATGTTGCAGCCTTACCGATCTGGGCCAGTCTGGTCTGGTTAGACGAATGGGTTCGGATGCTACAGCATTGTCTGGTTCTCGCGGTTATCACAATAACTGATCAGTGGGCTGATAGGCGATACGATAAGAGGCAAATTCTTTGTTGTATAGGTGTAGCTGAACGCCTGAATCAGAGAGATTTTCCAACGTTGGTTTTGGAACGCAGCATGCCAGCATCCTTATCTTCTCATGCGAACCACGCCACGTGTTTTTTCAATGCTTATCACTCCGCAATTGGGATTTGCTCCTTTCTGAACGCTCCTCACACTGACCTCTCAGAAACATCCCATCGTATATTGGGAACATCTACCATCATAGTACGGGAGATGTTCGCGGTGTGCAGCTGAGACATGCTGTGAGGTACGCCTATGGAGCAGATCGGACTCCTGCAATGCTAGGTAGTTGGTACAAGGCGTCACGACATCGTGGGACCACATAGACATAAGGACTCATTGATTTATCAAACAAATCGGCCAAAAACCGCAGGAACTTTAACTTTATTGAGAGCAATGACGACCGTCGACTTCTATAAAGATTCCTGTACAAGCATCGGTAATCAAATTCAAATTCTCTCCCCCACTAGTGATCCGTTCGTCGGAAAATCGAAACCTTTATATAGGCCAGAGAATAAAGTTAAGACCTAAGAAAGAGACTCCCATTCGCTCCAGAAACAGACAGCCATCTCTCTTGAGTCTTGTCTCTCTCTCGGCGCGCGTCTATACGAATTCAGATGCATCTCCTCGTCTGCATTGCATAGACCCACTCTTCTCTTCCTTCCCCTTTCTCTCTTTTCTCCATTTTCATGGGACCTCGCAAAACCTAACCCTAGTTTCTGTGAGCACTCATGATACCAGAAAGCACAGACAAAGATTACCAACAGATTTTCAATTCTGAAAGCTATGGTGAGAGAAGAGCAGCGACAACCAGATGTGGTAACTCGCCGGGGTCTGGTGGTTGGGAATTACTGCCACGATATTCTTATCCGAGATGGGCTTGTCGTCGGCGAGAGCCTCGGAGGTGCGGCCTCCTTCATTTCTAATGTCCTCGACGGCCTCTTGATCCCCTGCGACTACGTGTGCAAGGTCGGCTCTGACTTCGCTTACTCGGTGACCCACCCTCCTATGACGTCTCCCTCGTCGATGACCACCCTCTTCCATGCTCATTTCTTTTCCAACAGGGACGAGAGTCGACATCAAGATCGTGTCCTCAGACGAATTCATGCCTGTGGTCCAATTTCACCGTCTGATCTCCCTGAATCGCAATTTGATTTTGGTCTGGCTGTAGGTGTTGCAGGAGAGATTTTGCCGGAGACACTGGAACGCATGCTTGATATCTGTCGTACCGTGTTTGTTGACATCCAGGCTCTTATTCGCGTGTTTGACCCGGCTGATGGAACCGTAAAGCTTGTTGGACTGAAAGAGAGCGGCTTTTTTCATCTTCTCCCGCGCATTGGATTTCTTAAGGCTTCGGCTGAAGAAGCTCCTTATGTAGATATTGAAGAGGCTAGGAAATGGTGCAGCGTGGTTGTCACGGAAGGAAAGGATGGTTGTAGGATTTACTCGAAGGATGAGAAAATGCAAATCTTGCCATTTCCGGCCGTCCAGATTGATCCAACGGGCGCTGGGGATAGTTTCTTGGGCGGGCTTGTTGTGGGACTTGTTCGTGGTTTGTCTGTGCCTGACGCAGCACTCTTGGGTAATTTCTTCGGTTCGCTGACTGTTGGCCAGATTGGGCTTCCGAAATTTGACTCAAGGTTGTTGCAGGTTTGTTATATTTCTCTTTACTCCTGTCCATTTATATATGGATTTTTTTTTATACTTTTAGTCAGTTTTACTTCATCACTAATCAGATATTCAACTATTCGTGTATACATTGTACCTCTAATCCAGTTGACACCTTTTGTTGTTTTGACCGACCTGGCAATTCATTTACCAATACATAGAATTATAACCATGCTCAATATTGAAAGCAATTATGGAATCATCAATGAAGATATTGAAGTTGCTCCTCAACCATTAAAATCACATATTCAGATAAATTCTCCAACTTCTTCTATTCTACAAGACCTTACTAGGAGTTGTAAGGATAATATATTTCTAATGTGTCTTTTAAATTACCAGTCAGAAAAATGATGAATGCCACTCACATTTTTACTTAAATTGGCATCATGTAAGAAGGCATCTGTGTAAGCTCTTTAACAAGGTAGAACTTAATCAAAGAAAGAAGTACCTGAAAAACCTGCTAAGTGTACCATATAGTAGGCACTATAACAACCAGATTCTAACTAACCTAAATGATAAATTTCAAAACAAAAGTACAACTTCCACCCTGGGAGATCTTTGTTCTCAAATGACAGTTCATGTTCTGAAATGATATTATCACACAGAAAACCTTGTGCTTTTAGAATTATTACCTGAAATTTACTTCACAAACAATTGCAGATACCTGGTGCCTGGTCTGGTGGTACAGTTGGAGAATTAGGAATAGTTTGCTGCCTTCATTAGATATCTTTTTGTGTGTATTTATTTGCTTGATGATATAATTATTGAGTGAATTCTAAATTTCTAATAATATCTGTAGGAACAGGACTCATATAACTTGTGCTCTTGCACTTTCCTCCTTAAATGAAAGAATATTATTCACCTTGATGGAAGACTGGCATTTCTATAGCTGATAAAAAAGGCAATTCCATGCATATAATACTAGTGACATAATATTCTTGATTTTAGAAATGTCATTAGGATTTATGGCTCTGGCCATTGTATGCGTGATTTAGGACCTATTGTGAAGATCCTTTTTGGTGAATTTCTCTGGACATACAAGTTTGTGCGTCATCTTCAAATTATGAGGCAAGTATCCCATTATCATTTACACTTTGTGATGTAAAGGGAAATGGGAACAGAGAAACTTATGTTGCATATTCCTTAATGTACAAACTGCAACTTACAATGTGGGCTAGGTGTGCTATTGGTGACATTTATACTTGAATGCATAGTTTTCAAGGCGCCAAGGCGAGGCTAGGCAACAGTGGGTCGCCTTGTTGCCTAGTCGCCTAGGCGATGGATTTTTCAAGTAAAAATATGTGTCCTAGGGTAGTTCCCTAGGTTCCATAATCATATTTCCTTAATAATTATCCATAAATTTCATAAGAAAAGTATAAACTTCAGGTTAAAGTATAGAAAATCAACATATTCCAACATACTCATGAGAAAAAAAAAGTAGAAATAAAAGAAATTTCAAAAAATATAGGGGTGAACCCCTATTTCTGTTATAGGAAAAGAAGAAAAGAAAAGGCGGAAGAAGAAAATCGGTATATAGACACAAAATTAGTAAAGAAAAAGAAGTAAATGTGTTGATTAGACAACATTTTGAGTTCTTCCTTACTTATTGGTTCAGGTTTTTAAGTCTTTCAGGGTTCAATACAGAATTTAGCAATGTTTGTGTTGATTAAACCCTAACAAATAGGAAAATAATAAAAATAATTAGTATATAAATTCACAAAATGAATATTTTAGTTTAAAAATGTCTATTTTAAAATTATAACCTCAAAAAATTAAGAATATAAAAGTTTTTTTCTAACACGCTATAGAAAACTGCTTGGCGATTAGGCGAGGCAAGCCTCCAAGGGCGCCTTGTCACCTAGGTGTGGCCTTGACAACTATGCTTGAGCGAGCTGCTTACATGCTGATGTGGGGAAACTTTATTTACAATTGTACACATTGATCGATAAAACTGAAGTCCAATATCTTTTTTTTTTTTAAAAGGTAAGGTAATTTTATTAAGACAACAGAAATTACAGAGGAGCTCCAAAACCATAGCTAGAATACAGAGAACCAAGCCCAAAAATAGATTACAGCTCAAACAAACTTCTAGACCTCAGCTGTGCACCAAGATCCCTGGATTGGAGCCCTTTCACAGCTGAAGTCCAAGACACTAATTTCCCCACACTACAAGATACAAGACTGTCTACACCCTTAGATTTGTTTTTGAAAACTCCTGTTTCTCTCTGCCCAGATGGTGCTGATCACTGCTGCAGGAATAGCCAACCACGCAATTTTTGCTAACTTGGAGAGGCCTTGAAGCTCCCAATTTCTTAAGAGATCCATCACTTTACTTGGCATGACCCAGTAAAGTCCCACGGAAGCAAGAAAATGATCCCACAAAGCTGTTGAGACCGGACAATGGATAAAGAGATGGCTGTTGTCCTCTTCATTTCTGCAAGCAGATCCATCACTTGATCCACTTCCCAATCTTGAAAAGCCCTTCTGAAAACAGGATTCCAAGAAACCACATTTTCTCTCAGCTCATAGCAGTTAGCAATCAATGCCTCTCGATTCTCTGCAATCTGGAACAGCTGTGGGAACAGTTCCTCTAAAGATCTGATGTTACACCATTTATCTTTCCAAAATTTCGGGCGATGACCAGACCCCAGTTTAAAGGAAAGTCCACTATTTAGCATAGGAAAGGATTCCTTAATTTTCTTCCACAGAGAACATCCCAGAGATGGGAAGTTACAAATGGTTAGCTAGTCCCCACTGTCAGTTTCATATTTAGCTGCTAAAACCGAAATCCAATATCTGAAAAGCAGAAAAGCTCTTTTTACGGATCTGATATCTGAAAACAGCAAATCTGCCTTTCTGCTTTTTAGAGCCTCTATAATATTAAAAAAAGAGAGCATCTTAGTCATCATAATCCATCTGAAACATGTTTAAACAAGATTCTCACATGAGCTACCTGTTACCAATCAGACATATTATCACTTTTCAGAGGTGTAGATGCTGATTTAGGTGGCATTTGATAAAACTGAAGTCCAATATCTGAAAAGCAGAAAAGCTCTTTTTACGGATCTGATATATGAAAACAGAAAATCTGCCTTTCTGCTTTTTAGAGCCTCTATACTTTTAAAAAATAGAGCATTTTAGTCATCATAATTCCTCTGAAAAGTGATAATAGGTCTGATTTGGTAACAGGTAGCCCATGTGAGGAATGTGTTTAAATGTGTTTCAGAGGGATTATGATTACTAAAATGCTCTATTTTAACAGGTAGCTCAATTTTATCATGTGAGCTTCTGGAAAGCAAGTTTTTCTGATGTAACAAGGGGATTTATAGTTAGTTAAGAACACTTCTTTGGCCAACAAACTGGAAACTTCATTGGAACATCGAACATATGCTTATAGTAAGTATCATAGTCTACCCATTAATCCTAATATTATCTACAATATTTGCCAGATGTTGTAGGCCCTTGAAACTTCCAAACCTCAAATAGTGGCATATAGGGATGGCAATTTTCCCCATCCCCGACAGGGACCCGACTTCCTCGACCCGATGGGGTTGGGGATGGGGATTGAGGTCCCCGCCCCGCCCCGACCCCGATTATATATATTAAATGTTATTTATATTAAATATATATTATTATATTATTTATAAACACCAAAACATATTAAAAACATTATTTATAATTTATAATTTTAAGTAAATTCATTTTTCAAAAAAATTATTGTTATCTAAAAAAGGTTTTGGGGATTCGGGTCCCCACGGGGAACCCATCTCTGTTGGGGATCAGGGATGGAGGACAAATTTTATCCCTGACGGGGATCGGGAAATGGAATATGATCCCCACCCCATTGCCATTCCTAATGGCATATATTGGGTTGCTCTCCATAGTCTCCACCCTTTTTTGCAAGTTAAAGTGTGAATCATAAGGATCCTTTGTTTTGGAGCTCTTTTTGCAATTAGGGAAGAGAAAAACAATGAGGATAGAAGGATAGCATCTCTAATGGTGTTCCTATGCCAGTCAGACTGAATTGCCTTGAGAGCAGTTAAAACTTAGTCCCTACCATCTTTGTTCAGGCTTCATCCATTGCGGACTAATATTATCTTCAGGAGATCTACATGCATCACATCAAATGAGAAGAAATGCATTATTCACCTAGACTTATGCTAAGTGACCCAGTAATGCACAGGTTGAGATAAATAAATTTGACTGTTTTGAGACATAGATTTTGGCTGATTTTAATTTGATTAAGAATGGTATGTTCAAGGCAGATGGCAGTTTAAAAAGGGTACAAAGGGGTGGCTGAAGAGCTAAAGGCAAGTAAAAAAGGACATGGTTTTGTAGTGAAAAATGATTTGAGGGCAGAGTTACTGGAGGATATGGCCCTTGATAGAGTGGAACGGCAAAGCCGGATTTATGTAGCCAACCATGTATATTGGTATAAAACTTTAGTTGATTTGGACTTAGTAGGAGTTGTCAAAGGGGTTTACAATTAGTGGTTTGGTTTTGCTTTGGTTTCTGGGCTTTTGGGGGAGTGGGGAGTGGAGAACATGTTTTAGGGATTCATTGGAGGAACATCTTGCGACTTGCTGTATAATTAGAATCAAAGGATCTGTGCTGGAAGTACAAAATAAGAGTATGAGTGAGTGTATGACAGCATGTAGAAATGAGGTAGAAAAGGGAAATAAAGGTAACTGGACTCTAATCGTTTCTATGAGAAAATGAGAAAAGGATGACCACTTCAACCAGTAAAAGGAAAGGAGTAAGATCACTCTAGCAACTAACACCATTATGGAATAATACCAATAAAACATATGTACTCACAAGTAGCAAGCAAGCTTCAAATTTAACTCAAACAAATAATTGGTTTTATCGATAAAAAACCATTAATGGCATTTGATAAATGTATAGAAACACCCTTTATGGCATTCTACTTAGAATCAAATTGTGAACTGCTAAAAGCCTAAAACTGACTACTTTTGAAAATCAAATACCTTTGGAAAGATCTGCCTACCCTCTGTCTGAAAGAAGAATTTCCAAAATCTGAAACAAACTGATAAGAGCATTTAAAATGTCATGTTGTTAGAGAAAGTTACAATAAGAAACATAAGATACCTGCATAAAACAATGTAGGATGAACCTAACCTACAGAATAATTGTGTACCTTCCATATTTCTTTCTCTAACATGGAAACCAAATTTAAGGTGCCCAAACACTGCCATAAAAAGGGAAAGAGGAGCATTTAGGCTGTGGTTTTGAAAGAAAAAAGGTAGGGAAAGGAAGGGAAATCTAGGGAAACCAAACACAGCCTTATATGATAACAAATCCATGTTAAACACAATAATAATATGTTCACTGTACAAGTGTAATGTTGTGATCCATAAATTTGAGTCATGGTGGCTGGTTGATGGAAGTCTGGCAGGTTCTTGGTGCAATGAACTTTGTTTTTTGAATTTTATTGGATGTGTTAAAAGAATGATATATACAGATACAAATCAGTTTTAATAGGCTACCAATGCTTCTACCTAAACCCTTCCCTGGTTGGGAGTATAATTTCAGTTCACAACAAATTTTGGATAGACCAGCTAACTTGTTTCCATCTCTGAGAGAACTGTCAGATTTAGAGGATTGAAGGGGAGATAGCTGGGACCCAGGTGATGTCACTCTTACTTATGGGTGTGCCCTGCAGAAAGAAATTCAGACTGCTAAACTGGATTTTTTGAAGGGGATCAGATATAAAATTGGAGATGGAGCAAGGCTAAGATTTTGGAATGACCTCTGGTGTGACAAGACTAGCTTGAAGGAGGTATACCCTTGCATATTTGATATAGATCAAAACAAAGAAACTATGGTGGCAGACTTGCTTTTTTTTCACAATGGTAATGCAGTGTGGAATCCCACTTTTATGAGGAACCTAAACGACTAGGTGGTGGAGCAAATGGCTGACCTTTTACAAAAGCTGTACAGACATAACCCAAGCAGGTGAGGGCTTGCTGATAAAAGAGAATGGAGATGGTGCAAGGATGGTAGTTTTTTGGTTAAGTCTTTTTATAGCACATTGGTGGAGAGAGGGGAAGTCAGTTCCCTTGGGAAAGTATTTGGTGTATAGTTGCTCCAATGATGGTTTCTTTTCTGGTGTGAACAGTCTCTCTGAACAGATGTCTGACCAGAGATAATTTGTTGAAGGGGGTTGTTTGATTGATAACATTAACTGTATCTTCTGTGATGAAGAAGTGAAATCAGTTGATCATTTATTTTTGCATTGTTCGCTTGTTAGAAGGTTGTGGTTAAAAGTCTGTGGACATTTTTGGGATTCATGTTTGCTTTCCAAAATCTGTGGTGGAGCTTTTAACTTGTTGGCAGTAAGTGCTTCAGTAAAAAAGGAAAAATAATTTGGAGAGTGCTGCCTTTAGAAATTATTTGGACCATGTGGATCAATGGATGGAAAGAAATGCCAGAATTTTTGAAGATTTGGGGAAATCAGATGAGGCAGTTGTAAAGGAATTCTGGGGTGGAATTCATTCCTGGGTTGCAGTGTACAGATGTTTTATAAATATACCATACAGGTTTTTTTTTTTTTTGAAAGCTGATTTGCTTTTTGTAATGATTAATTGATATTTTTTGTATAGGTGGAGGTTGTAATGGCACAACTCCTTGTGGTGTAGATGTGGGGATGTTTTGTTATTAATATATCAAAAAATTTTAAAAGAAATATAAAAAAAGGGGTTTATAGCCATAATCAGAATCTATTCGTGGGAGATACTTTCATTCTCAGTTGGCATTTTCTTTTAAACTAAACCATGGATTAACAAGAAGTGGATGCTTCCGCTCTCAAATAGAAGCTTTCTTCTTAAAACATTTGTCTAACCACTCTTAGAAAAAGTGGGTAGTTGGCCCCCTCTCAGAGAAAAAGATAGTAATTACTGACATGTGACTATCTATAAAAAAATACTCATTTCAGAAGATGTGGGACCCTTATTAATCTTTCTAATTTAATTTTCTAATTTAATTTTATAGTTCAAATAAAAATTCATGGGTTTGACTATGATGCTGGAAAGACATGATACTGGAAAAACTTGTAACCAATCAATCAGCATCACAAAAGTGGTAACCAATCAAGTGGGTTTTCATGAAAATTCACCGGGGTTTTGATTGGTCAAAGCCTTTCCAGTATCATGTCTTTCTGACATCACAGATTTTCCCAAAATTCATTATAACAATTTTCAATATATGGGTCCCATTCTTTTAGATAAAATGGGTTATTAATTACAAACCTAATTTAATTTTTAAAATTAAATAAGGATCTCAAATTAGATATACAGATAGTGAATCTTAAACAAAGTAATGTATAGGTGTAGTTGCCCCATACTTGGTACCGGGTTCATTCTGTAGTGTAAAAAGAAAGTGACTGGGAGACCATGGTTTTCTAAGATACTTTGACCTGAAGAATATTGAGTTGCATAAAATGGTTATATATATGGGCTTATAGTTCTTTCCTTTTCATACTTTATTTACCAGTTGAACCTTTTGAAACCAGTTTGGTGAAACCTTTTGCTGCAGAAATATGACCTTCCCTGCATGCGTTCCTTGTTTTCTGCTTTCAGAGAGTCAACGATGAGTTACAAAGGAAGATACAATGTATCAGCTGCTGTGAAACAAGAAATGCTGGAGCTGACTTTAGGATGTCAGTAGAGCATAAAGATTTCCAAGCTTCACTTATTGGAGCAACCAAGTCATTAACTACCTACTGCGGACAGGAAGATCAATGGAGCTCCCAGAGTTCTCCTGAAGTAAAAGAGCAAAGCGTACACCATCAGAACAATGGTCACCAAAAACTGTTGTTCCAAGACCCTGTTTATGAAGAAACGGCTCAGCATATTAAGGCTGACAATGACATAAGCGCAGCCCCTTTTGTTTAATTTGTACGTTCTTCCCTCAATAACTTGAGGAGCAATGAGAGATCTGTAGACATTGAGCTCTCTTGGTGTTTCATTTCTGCAGAGGTTCTGTAAGTGCAGCTATATGCGATAGCCACCTGCAGTAAGTAGTAGGCAATGCAAATGGAAACCAAACTACAATGGACAGGTGGACACATATTCAGGTGTACATATTAAACTCTTCCTTGGCCAAACTACACAAATCCCATCTGGCGAACCCTCTAATGTCTAATCTATTCGTGGGCCAGGTTCCAGTTAAGACCCTTTGCCAGGTGGCCAAAGTAAACTCTTCCTTGTGGGTGTTTTTAAATCGAAAACCTTAAAATGTTTGGACTAGTCCGATCGTATAATATAGATGGGAAATATCCAACAAGAGGTGGTTATCAATCCAGTTGATCGTTAACTTTTGAGCCGGCAATGGGCTTCCTTATGCAATTGTGCAAGCAGGCATGATCCATCTTGAAATGTTTTGGCACCATTGTTGTTTTTACTTAGGCTTAGTTTGGAAGGAGTACAAATACAAGTGTTTAAAGTATAAGTATATACAAAATAATACAAAATACAAGGTTTTGCACTTTATAATTTGTATTTGTACTCCTTTCAAACTGAGCCTAA